AAAGAAAAGCAGCCTTTTGTTGAGTTTGAAACAGAGCTTCGAAAACAGATCGAGTTTTGTGAATACAAATTGGATGGACAATCATACAATGATCGTATGTTGAAGGAACGAATTGTCATTGGTGTGCATGACAAGACGTTACAATTGAAGTAATTGGAAGGAAAGGATGAGTCATTGCAGAAAGTCATTGAAACGTGCAAGATGTATGAGGCTGCAAATGCACATAAGGCGTTGTTGAACACAACTAGTCAAACAAGTGTTAACAGTGTGGCTGAACAGGAGCCAAAGGAAACAGTCAACGCAGTAGCACGTCGTTGCTATAACTGTGGTGGCGATTTCGCAGCAAGGCATTTGGAAACATGCAAAGCTAGAGATATCAATTGCCGATCATGTGGACGCAAAGGTCATTTCCAACGTTGGTGCAAATCAAAAGGAAAGCAAACGGGCAACAAAGGAACGAAACCGGACAGCTGCTATAATCATGTAAAACAACAGCAACACTCCCTCAACTGGGAAGGCACAGGTAATTTTGTACAAAACATTGATGAAAGTGCGAATAGGTTTATTATGGTAGATTGTATTTATAGAATAAATTCAAACTATGTTGGAAATGAGAGGAAGCGATGGCACAAGGAATACCGAATAGCGAATAAATTGGTTAGGTTTAAGCTTGATACAGGATCGGATGTGGACTGCATTCCGGCCAGGATATTTAAAACTTTTGGAATAAGATTAGAAAACAAAAATGAAAATTATTCGGTTTATGATTATAATGGAAATAAAGTAAGTGTTCTCGGAACAGTTAAATTAAAATGTTTGGATGAACAGTCAAATACGGAACAGTCGTCTCACTTTATTGTTGTCGATGACGTGTGCGAACCGATTCTAGGACTCGAGTCATGTGAAAGATTCGGATTGGTAAGGCGAAATGATGTAGGGTCGGTCGTGTGCTTGTCACAAACAAGGGAGGAGTTTTTGCAAAATAATCGTGTTGTTTTTGAGGGGTTGGGTAAATTTCCGGGAAAATTCGTAATAAATATGAAAGAAAACTCCAAACCAGTCCTGCACTATAAGAAACGGATACCAATGTCATTGTTAGATAGATTGAAGTCGCAACTTGATAAAATGGTACAGGATGGAATCATCGCACACGTGGATTACCCCACTGACTGGGTCAACAATGTACAGATAGTTGAAAAGCCTAACTCAAATGAACTTCGAATTTGTTTAGATCCTAAGCCACTCAATGAATGTATTAGGCGGGAACATTTTTTGATTCCGACGGTTGATGACTTAATGTCGGGTTTGGCAAATAAAAGAATTTTTTCGGTTCTTGATTTGAAAAGTGGTTATTGGCAAATGGAATTAGACGAAGCAAGTTCTAATTTAACAACGTTTATGACTCCGTTTGGGAGGTTTAAATTCAATCGCGTGCCATTCGGACTTAATTTTGTTCCGGAATTGTTTCAGCGTGAAATGATTAGAATGTTTGGAGACATTGAGGGAGTTATAATCTATTTTGATGACATGGGTATTTGCGGGGAAACGGAAGAAGAACATGATCGCATCATGAATAAAGTAATTGAACGAGCGCGGGCAAATAATATTAAGTTTAATCCGGATAAAATCCAATATAGAAAACGGGCAATTAAATTTATGGGAAATATTATATCGGAAGGAAAATTTAAAGCGGATTTGAAGTATCGGGATGCAATCTTGGAAATGAAAAAACCCGGAGATAAAGCTAGCGTTCTAAGATTTTTGGGCATTCTTAAATATGTGGCGAAATTTATTCCTAATTTGTCAAAGCAATCAGCGAGGTTGCGCAACCTAACGCGTAATGATGTCGAATTTAAATGGACGGAAGATCATGAATTGGAGTTTAAAAATTTGCTTAATATCATAACATCTGAACCTGTGTTGGCTATCTATGATCCTAAGTTACCGGTCATTGTGCAAACGGATGCATCAAGAGATGGGCTGGGTTGTGTAATGGTGCAAAACGGACACCCAGTAGCATATGCATCTCGAACGTTAAGTAAAAGTGAACAAAAATTGGCTCAGATCGAGAAGGAGTTGTTGGCCATCGTTTTCGCTTGTCAGCGGTTTCATTATTTTTTGTATGGACGTGAGTTTACGGTTGAGAGTGATCACAAGCCATTGGAGACGTTGATCAAACGGGATATTGACGATGTAACAATGCGACTTCAGCGGATGTTCATGTCACTTTTGAGATATCCGAAAATGACAGTAGTTTACAAACCCGGAAAAGAAATGCTTGTGGCCGACTGCCTTTCACGAGCTCAATTGTCAGAATGTATGGAAGATACGGAATTAACTGGAATTATTCATTCAGTCACTAAATCGGCATGTTTATCAAAACAAAATTTTGATTTGTACCGTTCAACAATTGATGAGCAATTGTTGAGAATTTGTCGATATGTGGAAAACGGTTGGCCAAACTATCATTTACTTGACGATCTGAGCCGTGTGTTTCACAAGTTTAAGAATGAACTTCATTTTGAGAATGGCTTACTTTTTCGGGATCATAGACTGGTAATTCCAAAGGAGCTGCAAGATAAACTCAGTAAGTGGTTACATGCGGCACATTTGGGAATTGAAAAAACTCTTGCACGGGCAAGAATTCTGTACTACTGGCCCAACATGAGCAGTCAGATAAAGGAAATTGTAACATCTTGTGCCATTTGTGAAAAGTTTACCCGTAGCAATCAAAAAGAAGAACTGGTTCAGGAAGAACCGCCGAAGTATCCATTTCATTTGGTGGCAGTTGACTTGTTTGAATATGCGGGGCAGGATTTTATGTCTTTAATTGATTCGTATTCGGGTTACCTAATCGTAGAACATGTTCAAAACAAAACAGCACGCCACCTTATTGAAAAATTGAAAGGTAATTTCAACAAACTTGGATATCCGACGGTAATCAAAGCAGATAATGTGCCATTTAATTCTAGAGAGTTTGAGGAGTTTGCGAATGGTCACAATATAATCATGAAATTCTCGAGCCCTCGATATCCACAAAGCAATGGACTAGCCGAAAAAGGTGTCGCGATAGCGAAAAATATTTTGAAACGTTGTGTTGAGGGCCGGAATACGGATAATTATCAGTATCGTATTTTGGAGTATAACTCAAGTCCTGTGGCAAGCATGCGATTGGTTCCATCAGAGTTGTTTTTTGGTCGTTTGATAAAAACAAGAATGCCGATTGCGGATTCGTTGCTGCGTCGCAACAATCTAAGTGAGGAAACTGTTCAGAACAAAATTAAAGAAAAAAAGAAAAGCAAAAGTATTATTACGACCGGAACGCAAAAGCATTGCCAGTTTTAAACATGGGTGATCTTGTTATATTTAAGAAGAATGGGAAGGTGTGGAACTACGGGACAATTGCAGGCAATGTAAATGGTCGATCATAACTATATTGTTAGGGACAATTTTGATAATTATTTTAGACGCAACCGACGGTTTATTGCCAAGACAAAAAATAATGAAGTCAGTGGGGATGAGATAATGTTTGAAGAAAATATTAAACGTAATGTGTCAGAGCCGCGTAATGTAAAACCAATCGAAATTGTACCGCCACTTGCGTGCGACATACAAGATAGCGTTAACAGTGGCAGTAAACCAATTGGTGGCTATGTGGATGAACCAGTCCTGCCAGTGTTGAACGAGAGTAATGCATCTTCAGATGAATATCAAACTGATGGCAGTTCTGATTCAGAAGCAGAATCGGCAAGCAGTCAAGAGACACCCGAACCGGTTATTGCAAAGGAACCGGAGGTTAGGAGAACTCGTAGCGGGCGCGCTAGTCATGCACCTCAAAGATATGGTTGGAGTTAACTTGATGTAACTACCATATGAAACATATCAGATTATTGCTTACCTTACCACCGATGTTAATTTGATGAATTGTTAATTAAAAAGAAGAAAAAAAAAGCGTGTAATAATATTGTTAGTCAATAAATGTCACTGTCTGGGCAGTATTGAATATTAGGTGAAAAGTATGAACGCACCATCAATGTTTTGTATGAATGCACCCATCAACATATTGTATGAAGGCGGCCATAAATGTATTGTATGAATGTACCCAACAATATATT